AATTTCAGTTTTCTTTTTTCCTAACTTGGGTAACTTTTCATACCTCTGGTCTTCTAACATTTTTAACCCGTCATCTGTATGTGACTTTAGCATAAATGCAATAAATGTATAATATTTACTTGCTTGGTTTGCATCGCCTTCATGCGGTTCCACATGCGCATGTAATGAGAGAAATCGTGCGGATTTCTTGCATAACCGTTTGAAAAGCCACACTGGTATGAGGCGTTCGTTTTTTATTGTATTTTCAATGAAAGTTATTGAACAGTTCTGCAACCATTTACAGGCGCTATCTGTATCTTTAAAGTGTTCATAAAAGGCTTCGACTCGACTTTCATCTTTCAGATTGAGTCTGATGTGAAGCAAGAGTTTGTTAAATGCTTTGGTGGTCATGTAAGGTTTTAGTTGTGTGTGTAGGTACTCAGGGTTGATGATGTTTGCATACTGCGGGTCGGTGATTAGCCACGTGGACTTCTTAATAGCTGTCGCCGCATACAGCATGTCTTTGGATTTCATTACTTCGATGACGTAGTCTACATTTCTGGCTTTACAAGCGATTTCTATTCTCAGAAGGTTGTCTATGTCATTGTCTGTGTCACTAGTCGGCGTTAGTTCATAATGTTTGCTAGCGACTGCATCTGCGACAAGTTTGTTGAAGTGTCGGCGCTTATCGCCAAATGTCTCTTCCTCTAGCGTCAGTTCCGGCATGATGATGAACTGGAAACGTAATGTTTTGTGTTAAATTTCTGTTTCAACTTAATTTTTATTGGTCTTGTGGAGGTGAATGAGTGATTTCTTAGAAATAATTCCCGAACATCGGGAATAAGAAGTAATAAACAATATAAAAACACAGTTGGTATTGACGTAGGATTAGATCGCTTCTCTTACTTGAGGAGTCCCAAGTAAAAAAATATCACAGCAATATTATGATGTTATTGACTTGTTAAAGTGCCTAAGTATTATATAAGACAATAAAGAATTATTATTCTTTTGACTATTGTCAATCTCAATCAAAATTATTGACTATAATTAAGTGAGATTGTTAGAGAAATCATGCAGTTGTTTATTATAGCAGTTCATGTATGTAATACATTACATTTCAGTTATGTATGTAATAATATATTATTATAATACATAATAATTTTTAGCAGGACCTGACCAGGATAATATTTTTTTTTAGGTTTATAGAATAGAGCTAATCGAGGAAGTACTATTTGTTTTATAATAACTATCGTGACATACTAAATTAACTAAAAATCGCGGGTTACTCACGTGAATATACTGAGTATACTACTGAATATACTGGCTCGAAACTAGTAGAGCTCGGGTAGCACACACGACGGGTTAAAATTGCAACGGGTCTCTGCGAGTTGGTTTCGCCCGTCATTTCAAGCTTACAGCTTTTCAAGGTTCAAGGGATCATGTCGTATGAAATGAAATGAACAAACATAATAATATATATATATTTATTTTTCCACAATAAAATCTCTTAATACTAAGCTTGGATTAAGTATAATATTATATTTTGATAACATAAGCCATAAATGTAACGAATGAACAACGTGGGATCTAAAAGGCTACCTCGAGCAGGATTAGAGTTCTGTCTTTTAAATAGTTTTGAAAGAGAACCAAATGGTTATTCCTAATACACGTTTTTTCAAATTTACCTACGAGTAGGTGCGGACTGATGGTATCGAAAACCCTTTGCACATCACATATTCGTTACATCACTAGTACGACATATACATAATTATTTATAATATTATAATTACCCACGTTATACACACATTATAAAAACCAATAGAAGCTTACTATCGAGAAATAAAAAAATAATGTGTTTATCTAATCGAAGGTCAGTACTCATTAGGCCTTAACAATAGGAAAGAAAGAAACTAAAAAGAAATACATACAATTAAGAGAATATTATAAAGACGTATATAAACATTAATTACAAATAAACTTAAGGGTACTGTAACAAGATGAGTTCTATAAACACTTACATCAATTACATTCACGAAGGCTGATAAACTCACATATCGATTGAATGATCAAATGATAAAGTATGTATGTTCATTTGTTCATGCATATACATATAACCTAATAAACTCCTTTGTGGTCAAAATTGTACGAGTATAACGCGGTGTTTATTTTTACATTTTTATGAATTGCATTAACAGCTGACTGCTCACCACCTCGTTGATCAAGTGGTTTGTAGGTATTATTGTTTACCTTCTCGATTCCATATGAGAAGCTTCCCATATATGGAGAATGAAATGTTGTACAGCTAAGTTGTTTGATTTCAACAGTATAGCACAGTGGCCATGGTCATGAAATACATGTGTCATTATATGTGTTAGGTAGTTGATTATCGATTTAACAAGCTTTGAGAAACTACGCGTCAATCCTCCACGTAATTACAAAAGTCGTTATTAAATTGTACCTGTACTGACATAGATTCGTTCGATTTTAGTTTTTGCAATATTTCTGATCTTGCATGCTTTGTTTCTTCACGTAGACGTTTTGGCATAATTTTAGATACAACTAAATATGCAGAAACAAAATTATCGTCATTTAACACGTGTTTCAAGGTCTCTGTTATTAAAGTATCGTGGATGAATAACATTTTAAACATTTTGTCTAGAGCGACCGCAAACAAATTATGTATCATTGGACCATATTTATCTGTGTCCTCCTTTAAATATTGTAATATTATTGGACCGAATAATAGCGAAAGGTCTCTATCGTAGTCTGCATTTTCTTTTTCATGACATTGCTCATATGATTTATATATTTGAATATAAGCTGTTACAAGCTTCCAGCTAGTGAACATTTTATAGTTTTCTAACACTGACAAACCATTTGTCATTTTACATTCTATTTCTGCAAACAATTTGGCGGGTATTAGTATAGTTTTATCATACCAATTTCCATTTTTGAATAGAAGCGTAGCGAGCCTTAAAAATCTTTTAAAATTTGCTTTACATGAATTTGCATTATACCAATTCTGAAACGCTATGTCAAATGCTGGTTCTATTTTTTTAAATCTTTGCAGTTGGTTTTCCTCACTTTTACCGTATATTAAGAAATTTGCGAAACACTCAAGAATAAAATTATTTGTTGAACAAAATATGGTTTCTACAGGTGCCAGTAATAAACTGAAAACGAAGTCTTCGTCTAACGATTCCATATGTCGAGGTCCGAAGTATAGTATTTTACCTATGTACCTTTCACTGTAGGGTAACGATGCTAGATAATGAGTAATTTTCATGTAATATTCCGGTTGTTTTTCATAGGGAATAATTTCAAAATTAGTTAATTCTGTATAAAGCTCTGTACTTTCATCCTCTGAACTTAAGTCATCTATAAATATGTTTAATATCTTCCACAACTCGTTTTGAACTGTTTCATTGTCATGAGCTTTCTGCAGTTCATATTTGGTACGATTAAAAATAATTGATTTGATTGTTAAGCTCTTTGTGGATTTCCAAATTTTCCAAAAAACTGGAATGACTTCACTAGTTTTTAATTTTAAAAATGCCTGCTTAAGTACGAACTTCAGTAAACACAGGGGTGCATCGTACATTTTTGTCAAGTTTTCCCGAGTGTCAACTTCACTCAGAGTGAACCAAATAGCAATATACGACTGAATTGTATATTGCACATAGTCACCATTAGCATACCACAGCACTGAATCCAAAGGAACGAGTGGTCTAGCAAGGTGTAAATATTTTGCTATATTCATTCGAATGTTAATTTCAGTGTGATTAATGGGACCCCACTTTATTTTGAAATTTTCAGGTACGTATTTTTTTGCCAATTCTATGACTTGTTTTTGGGACAAAAGTACTAAAAGACCTTTAATGACGGCGGCATGTCCCGTTGGTTGATTTAAGCATTCCATGTAAGCCTCTGTCCAGTGTCGGGCGAGTGAGTCCGGCCAGTAGACGCGCAGCTTCGCGAGCACACGTCGCAGTGATACCGCGTTGTTAATCCGCAACGTGTGTATTTGTTTGTTATGGTGCGTTAGCAGCTGTGGCTTGTGCTTCAGAGCGTTGAGACACGTTTCCTCGCACAATGAGAGTGACAGCGACTGCTCAAACAAGTACTTCCGCCATGATTTATTCACATTGTATAAGCATGACAGGTTTGTGGTCCACTCGTTCTCTTCTTTTATTTTAATTAGTTCTTGGATTTTTTCGATGACTAATGGAAAATCATTGAGTGTTTTATTAAAATCTTTTAACAATGTAAGCACATTTTCTATCACGTGTAAAGTTTCACGAAAAGCAGGTTCATTAGCAAACCCTGCGCGTTTTGCTTTTGCCATCATGCAATTTAGTACATAATTAAATAATTTACTTTTTTCTTCTTCACTTAAAGTTTTAATAACATTTTTATATGAACTAAAAGTGCACTTTTGCTCGACGACTTCTGGTACAGGTTCATCGTTCAAAACTTTGCGCACAATTATAGCTTCCAGGCACAGTTGTACGTCGTTCTCTGATTCAGTGTATACGTCCATACTGTGAAATATTTGATCCAAAATGTTCCAAGTTGCCTCATCCAACTTGTGAGTAGAAACGTTTGAAAGCAGATTGTTTACAAAGTCTATCTTGAATTTGAAAGGAATATTCATGTGTTTTTCAACTACGAACGTTAACAACGACTTCATGTGTTTTGTATCGGTTTTTGCACTGCTTATCAAAACAGAAAGCATGGCACATCGTTCAGACGGCGAAATTTCTTTCCGTATTAAGTTACTCATTTTAGGAAATGCAATGTCAAACGGGTAAAACTCATACCATTGATAAGTACGAATTGAACTATCAATGAAACTCATTTCATTTTTATCAAATAACGTTTCAGTTCTATCGATGAACGATTTCTGAATGAAGTTGACTCTTTCTTCTTCCCGCATATTTTTTATGAAGTTGATCAATATTTTATAATCCTGATAATATCCCATAGTACTTCCTTTTTCGTAAAGAAATTGTTTTATTTTGTTTTTGTTCATATATCTAGCTACTATCGACATATCAATCGTACAGCGGTACATATAAATATTTTCTAAAATCCTTAGTGGACATGTTTTCATAAGGAATTCTGTTCTCTTTTTTCCCATTTCAGTTACAAAGAGTTTTGAATTTTTATCTTCTATAATGTTCAATATGTCTCTAGTTCTTGATTTTAACATCGTCAGATATACAGCACCTCGTTTTCTTCTTTTGCCGTCAACAAACGATGTGCATGTGAGAAAATGAGTAGACTTTTTGCATAGACGTCTGAAAAACCATAGTGATACATAACAACTTATAGCATTTTCAATAAACGGCACTGAACAGTTCTGCAGCCATTTTTCTTTGCTTCTAAATTCATTACAGTGGTCATAAAAGGCTTCGACTCGAGTTTCATCTTTCAGATTGAGTCTGATGTGAAGCAAGAGTTTGTTAAATGCTTTGGTGGTCATGTAAGGTTTTAGTTGTGTGTGTAGGTACTCAGGGTTGATGATGTTTGCGTACTGCGGGTCGGTGATTAGCCACGTGGACTTTTTAATAGCTGTCGCCGCATACAGCATGTCTTTGGATTTCATTACTTCGATGACGTAGTCTACATTTCTGGTTTTACACGCGATTTCTATTTTCAGAAGGTTGTCTATGTCGCTGTCTGTGTCACTAGTCGGCGTTAGTTCATAATGATTGCTAGCGACTGCGTCTGCGACAAGTTTGTTAAAATGTCGGCGCTTCTCGCCGAGTGTGTCTCTTTCAAGTGTTAACGGCGACATGATGGTCAGCTGTAAACGTAATGTTTTATCTTACACATACATAAATAACATTACGCCTCTTATTCCCTAAAGCGGTTGACAGGAATGTACAAACATATCTAATAATTATGATGTGTAGGTTACTTTCACCAACTCTTATCAAATGTACCCAAAACATTTGTTTCGAGTCAAATCTTATAGGGAACGTGTCAAGATTTCGTAAACTAATAACATTAAAATCTATAATTTTAAACAATCCAATAATACTTTACCTAACCCAGGAGTCGAAGCGAAATCTACGAGGCGGTATGAGTTTTAGGTTATATTTTTTTACTTTAAAGTAAAAAGTAGCTCACTCACTACTAGATAGAGTAAAAATAATTATGTAATTTTCAGGCCAACATTGTAAAATATTTAGTTAACAGTGAAAAATGAACTACATATAATACGACCAGCTCACTTTAATAGACGCTTTGTGCCAATAAAAGCGTTGTAAAAATGTGTAAAATCGTTACAGATTGACTTGGTTCAATATAATTACTTAATAAAATCCAACACACGTTTTTTAATAATTCTTTGATTTGATTTCGGACTTTGAGGCCTGTAAAAATACTACAAGACAAAAAAAAACATGAATTCAATACAAGTGATTTTATAAATACAGGTACATTAAAACTCTATTTTAAAGAATTTTAATTGAAATTGAATCGACTGAAGCAGTAATGTACTCTAAAAACACTTTAATCTTCCACGTACTCACGAAAATCGTTGTTAAATTGTACATGTACTGATATCGATTCATTTGATTTAATTTTCTGAAATATTTCTGAACGTGCACATTTTGTTTCATCAGAAGGAAGTTTCGGCATAATTTTAGATACAACCAAATATGCAGGAAGGAAGTCATCATCAATCAACACGTGTCTCAAGGTCTCCGCTATTACACTTTCACGTATAAACAACATTTTAAACATTTCGTCTAGCGCGGCCGCAAACAAATGATGTATCATTGGACCATATTTATCTGTGTCCTCCTTTAAATATTGTAATATAATAGGACTGAATAAAAGAGAGATATCCCAATCATTGTAATGACCTACGTTTTCCTCTTCAAGACTTTGTTTATTTAGTTTTATTATTTTAACATAAGCTGTTATTAGCCTCCAGCTGGTAAGCATTTTATAGTTTTCTAACACTGACAAACCATTTACCATTTTAGATTCTATTTCTGCGAACAGATTAGTAGGTAATGGTATTACTTTACCATAATCTGTTACCAAATGGCGAGTAGCAGTAAGTAAGAATGATTCGAAATTTTCCTTGGATGAACTTAATTTATACCAATTCTGAAATACTTTGTCGAATGCTGGTGCAATTTTTTTAAATCTTTCAAGCTGATTTTCCTCGCTTTTACCATATAATAAGAAATTTACAAAACAATAAATCATCCAAGTACGAGAAGAAAAAAATCTGGTTTCTACAGGAGATAACAATAAATTTACGACAAAATCTTCATCAAATGAATCCATATGATTAAATCCAAAATACAATAATTCATATAAAAAGTTTTCACTGTCGGGTAGCGACATCAAATAACGAGAAATCTTCATAAAATATTCTGGTCGTTTTTCATAGGGAATACTATAAAAATTAGTTAATGTTTTACAAATTTCTGTACTTCCATCTTCTATAAGTAAGTCATCTATAAACATGTTTAGTAACTTCCACAACTCGTTTTGAACTGTTTCATTGTCATAATATGTCTGCATTTCGTAGGAAGTGTGACCAAAAATAATTGATTTGACTGCTGAATTCTTAGTAGATTTCCAAATTTTCCAAAAGACGTTTATGACTTCAGTAGTATTTAATTTCAAAAACGCCTGCTTGAGTACGAATTTTAATAGACTCACTGGCGCATGGTATAGTTTTGGTAAATTCTTCAGACTGTCAACTTCACTCAAAGTGGACCAAATTTCAATATACGACTGTATCGCATATCGTACGTAATCACCATTAGCATACCACAGTATTGTATCCAAAGGAACGAGTGGCCTAGCAAGGTGTAGATATTTAGCGATATTTGTTCGTATGTTAATGTCGGTGTGGTCAGTAAGACCCCAATTTATTTTAAAATTCTCAGGTACATATTTTTTTGCAAAGTCTATGATTTGATTTCGGGACAAAACTACGAAAAGACCTTTAATGACAGCGGCATGTCCCGTTGGTTGATTTAAGCATTCCATGTAAGCATCTGCCCAGTGTCGGGCGAGTGAGTCCGGCCAGTAGACGCGCAGCTTCGCGAGCACACGCCGCAGTGAGACTGTGTCGTTAGTTCGCAACGTGTGTATTTGTTTGTCGTGACGCGTCAGCAGCTGTGGCTTGTGCTTCAGAGCGTTCAGACACGTTTCCTCGCACAAAGAGAGTGACAGCGACTCCTCAAACATGTATTTGCGCCATGATTTATTCACATTGTATAAGCATGAAATGTCTGTGGTCCACTTGTTCTCTTCCTTTGTTTTAACCAGTTCCTGGATTTTTTCGATGACTAATGGAAAATCATTGAGTGTTTTATTAAAATCTTTTAACAATGTAAGCACATTTTCTATCACGTGTAAAGTTTCACGAAAAGCAGGTTCATTAGCAAACCCTGCGCGTTTTGCTTTTGCCATCATGCAATTTAGAACATAATTAAATAATTTACTTTTTTCTTCTTCACTTAAAGTTTTAATAACATTTTTATATGAACTAAAAGTGCACTTTTGCTCGACGACTTCTGGTACAGGTTCATCGTTCAAAACTTTGCGCACAATTATAGCTTCCAGGCACAGTTGTACGTCGTTCTCTGATTCAGTGTATACGTCCATACTGTGAAATATTTGATCCAAAATGTTCCAAGTTGCCTCATCCAACTTGTGAGTAGAAACGTTTGAAAGCAGATTGTTTACAAAGTCTATTTTGAATTTGAAAGGAATATTCATGTGTTTTTCAACTACGAACGTTAACAACGACTTCATGTGTTTTGTATCGGTTTTTGCACTGCTTATCAAAACAGAAAGCATGGCACATCGTTCAGACGGCGAAATTTCTTTCCGTATTAAGTTACTCATTTTAGGAAATGCAATGTCAAACGGGTAAAACTCATACCATTGATAAGTACGAATTGAACTATCAATGAAACTCATATCATTTTTATCAATTAACGTTTCAGTTCTATCGATGAACGATTTCTGAATGAAGTTGACTCTTTCTTCTTCCCGCATATTTTTTATGAAGTTGATCAATATTTTATAATCCTGATAATATCCCATAGTACTTCCTTTTTCGCAAAGAAATTTCTTTATTTCGTTTTTGTTCATATATCTAGCTACTATCGACATATCGATCGTACAGCGGTACATTTCAATGTTTTCTAAAACCCTTTGAGGACATGTTTTCATTAGAAATTCCGATCTTTTTTTCCCCATTTCAACAATAAATAATTTTCTTGACGTGTCTTCCAAAATATCTAATACATCTGCAGTTCGTGATTTTAACATTGACAGATACGCTGGTTGTCGCTTATGTCTGCCGCCCTCAATAATCGTGTCAAATGTAAGAAAATGAGCAGACTTTTTAATCAAACGCTTGAAAAGCCATATGGATACACAAAAGCTTATGGCATTTTCAATGAAAGGTATGGAACAGTTCTGCAGCCATTTGTCGGCGTTTCTTGCTTTTTTAAAGTGTTCATAAAAGGCTTCAACTCGAGTTTCATCTTTCAGATTGAGTCTAATGTGAAGCAAGAGTTTGTTAAATGCTTTGGTGGTCATGTAAGGTTTTAGTTGTGTGTGTAGGTACTCAGGGTTGATGATGTTTGCGTACTGCGGGTCGGTGATTAGCCACGTGGACTTTTTAATAGCTGTCGCCGCATACAGCATGTCTTTGGATTTCATTACTTCGATGACGTAGTCTACATTTCTGGCTTTACACGCGATTTCTATTTTCAGAAGGTTGTCTATGTCGTTGTCTGTGTCACTGATTGGCGTTAGTTCATAATGATTGGTAGCGACTGCGTCTGCGACAAGTTTGTTGAAGTGTCGGCGCTTCTCGCCGAGTGTGTCCCCTTCTAACAGCAGTGACGGCATGATGGTCAACTGCAAACGTAATATTTTTTTTATTATTTCTGAACTACCTTGTAGTTTGCATTTGCTTCGTGAAAAATGTATTCGTTCAATTTTGAGTGCAACTTTTGGCAGCAATATTGTATCCAGTTTTTGTTTTAAAAATATTACATGTATGCTATTTTATTAATATTGTTTAATGCAGAAATATCGATTAGAATCGATTCTAACCGAAATATCGAATAAAATCGATTAATGTATTCATATTTAATCAAATACATAGCAAATATGAAGGTATGGGGTATCCATCAACGGCCTGAATTAATTAGAAATTTTATCAATGATTAAAATGTAAAAAAATAATTTACAGTACTTGATATAATTATAATATTATAGGTAGACATGGTCTGAAATCCCGCCAGGCACGATCACCTCACCTACTCATCTACTATGGTATGCAAGAAAGCGATAGAAGCTAGATTTTACTGTACAAGAGTGAGAAAACATATTTTTCCTTTCTCACAAGTAACAGTTACTCAATAAAAATGTTTTCATTAGAATTCGTTATGTAGCCTTATGTGCCTTGATTCACAATATTATCGAATTCACAGTTTTTTGTAGCCATTTAACAGTAACATGTAACAGCTGTAGTTTAAGTTTTACCTTTGCGAGTGAATTAAAACAATACTAGGTGATTAATGTCACTAGCTTTGTATTTAAAAGTACTCTTGAATAATGAATAATTCACATCCAAATCAAATTAACATTCAGAGTCTACGCCTTTTACTTTAAAAATAAAAAAAACGAGGGGTTGCACTCCGGGATTGCTGGCAGAAGTGAAAGCTTAGGTATTAACGTTGTGTTTTGGATATTTTGGAATGTTTATGGAATAATTTTACACGAATTGCTTCAATTATCAGAATAAAAGTACTATCATATATGTTGTGGAATACAATATTTACTAAACATATCTTGCACAACCGTCGCAAGCGCAAGCGACAACTCGTCTAATAGGTACTCCGTTTGTCTATTGTAAGGAACTTTATCGATGTCGATTAATTCTTTATAAACGTTTGTACTTTCTCCCTCTACTCGTATGTCATCTAGAAATATGTTTAATATTTCCCATAGATCATCTTGGAGTCTCTCATTATAATATATTCGATATAATAAATATAATTGAAAGTATATTCGTAAACAACGGATCAGGATGTAGGATCCTTAGCAGGCTTCCTTAAATTCCATATAACTATACTATAGTTGAAAAGTCTAATAATAGAAGTATATTTAATAAAATTCTTTAAAAATGTAATTTAATCTACAAAATAAAAAATAATAATAAAAAATATAAAAAAAATAGGAGCCGAAAATAGGAGGGTAGCGGGAGCATGGTCCAAGCTACTAGTGGCTAACCACTCTCTGTCTGTTTTCTGTCTCTTGGAGCCAGAGACAGAAACCTCCTCACGATACGTGTCGTTTCTAGGAGAACTGCCTTCTGTATCAGGCTCTTGATCCATCCACCTAACGCTAGCCTCCTGAGATAGATGTCGAGGCTTTTAGGGATTAACCCATTGGCTGACATGACTATCGGCACAATGATAGCCGAATCCACATTCCACATGTCGACAACCTCGTGACCTAAGTTTCTTTCTCAGCTTTCATGAGGTTCTCGTCATGGGGAATGGTGACATCGATTATCATCGCGCGGTGCACTTGTCAGTCTATCACCACTATGTCAGGTTTATTGGCTACAATAGTCCTTAGTATATTTATTATTAAGTTGGAAATATTTAATCTTAGTTCTTATTGTTATTTTAGTATTTATTGTATATTAATTGATGTCCATTGATTTTATTAAATTAAATAAAAAATTCACTTAAAGTTCACTAATTTAAATTTCACGAAAGTTTGATTTAGTACGAATTTGAGTAAAGCCAGCGGCACGTTATGATTTTTTAGTACTACCGACTGCCAACTTCACCGAATTTGGATACTTCCCTTAATCAAAAACAAATTTTATCGAATGTTTAATACAATAAAATATTAAAAAATAATCACAATTTCGTTATTTGATTTTATGACCAACTTTTAGTAATTTCCCAGGAGTTTTTTAACAAATAAGTATGCTGTTTTATATAGCGTGTATAAAAAACGTAAGGTCACAATACACAATCTCGTACAAATTTCATAGAAAACTGTCGTTGTTGACAGTTCGAAAAAAGTATCGAAATTGACTAGTTGGCAAGCACCCAACTGGACAAAATAGCATTGTGCAAAGGAAATACATATTATTTTACATAATCTTCTTTAGTGTACAAATACACTGTAACCAAAGTTGTTCTCTGTATGAGAAGAGGCAGATGTTTGCTCGGCAGTGGCCACGTTTAGGCATGGTTGAGCATTACATGTTGAGCGTGTTTTGTTATGGGAAAATCACAAAAGTAATTTACCTAAGTACTTTAAACAACTATAGGTACTACATATTCGACTGAGGGTCGTTTTATATCTAATCTATGTTTTGTCTGTTGTTATGAGTAAATCGCATTATCATTACATACAGGTAGGTGAAATATGGGTAGGTAAGTATTGATAAATGTTATTAGACTGATAAGTTTAAGGAAAATGTAAATTCAAGTTAGGTATATTCGTGAGTGGTGATAAAATTAACCAAGTAGGTACCTATGTCCGTGACCAGCGTATCAACCTATCCTTTTCTGTCAAATTTCTCTATTACATCATCGACTTTGTTGTATTGAAATAAAGTCGAAAATTTTTAACAGATTAGAGTACCTAGGTTGCTACCCACTGTACAGTGTACCTAGGCAATAACTAACTGTTTTAATGTTTTGGTAAGCTGAGCAAGATAAAGTAGGTAGGTATGTTGTTAAAACTTTTATAGCAAGAGGGTGTTTTCACAAACGCCAATAATTTGAATAGTGATTGGTGTTTGCTAAAATAGTCGAATTGACTGCAAAGTTCGATAATATTAGCAAACTAATAAGACATAATATGTATGTAGGCTTATATAACATAGGTTAACGACTTTAAATCCCCTAAGGCAGGCAAGCAGAGATGTTCTTATTTAAATAGTGGCCAAACATTATCCTATCAAGTATAAAAAAACATTATTCATGTATGTGAAATTGTATGCTTATAAATTGCACCCACGACACAGGAGAAAATCATAGTGTGGGTTATCAATTCATAAAATATGTTTGGTACCGACTAAACCCGATTTTAGGCCAGTTCACTAGTAGTTAATAATGTGGCCTATGCATAATAAATAAATAAATAAAAATAAAAAAAGCCTTTTATTTCGTGGAAAAAAAGAAAACCTAAATAACAATTGTTTTTTTTTACTAAACTTAACCTAAGTATATTATTTTTTGTTTGATTGATTCTAAATTTGTATTTGAAGATTTAAATGTTTTGTTCAGTAGTTGGTTTGTTTTCCAGAACCCCTCCTCAGGTGAAGGCCTCCTCCAACGATTTTCATTGCTCCCTATTCAGGGCCTATGCATAGATATATTTAATATTTCTGCGGGCCATGTAATAGAGGTCTGATGAGGAGAGTCTATTGCCATACACCAGACAGATTTTCAGGCTCCATGATAGTTATTTTTTTAAACCAAAAACCCCAATTTTAGTATGTAGGTAACTAATTATTTATCTTTATAGGTAATCCAGAAAATGGCAATCTAATCTATCATGTCAATATTAATAATTATGCACCTTATTACCTACATAGTAAAATACAATACTTAGTATTCGATATATTTTTCTCAATTTGGAATTAAAAATAAATATCAGACTATTCATACAAACCTACATTGCACAGATTGAAAAATCAATCGACATACTGAAATCGTAATTTCTTTAACAGATTTTCAACTTTATTGCTTTCTTATTAAAGTAGAAAAAAGCTATGTTAAGCTTAGTTAATATTTTCTAGCTAAATATAATTATATAATGATATATTATAGCATAATATTTGACGCAAATAAACATTGTAACAATAATTATTAGAATAG